GGAGCTACGCGGCGGCGATGAGCAATCCGTGGTATTCTCAGAGCTATCCCGGCCCGAGGGGTTATGGCCAGGGTGGCGAGATGATGACGATGAGAGGAGATACCGAGCGGAGTGGATCGGCAGCTGCTGCAGCTGAGGCGGTAGCTGGGATCAAGCGGAGGAAGAAGCCCTATGCAGCGCCCAAGGGAGTGTGGCGTAATAATGGAGGATATAATGCTACCATTTACGTTAATAAGAAGCGAATCTACGGGCCTGTGCGACGGAACTTGGCCGACGCTGTGTCGGACAGGCGGATTATGGAGGACTCAGTAGATTCGGCCAGGAGTAAGATTGAGAGGTCGATCGAGGAAGAGCATAAGATCTTCGAGTCTGATCAAGCGAGGGAGTCGTTCATTGCAGAGGAATGCCATACGATGATAAGGGAAGTAGTTGCGAAACTGCGAGCGGAGCGAGGCAACACTCATAACTCCACCAACCCGGTTTCTCCTGATCATCGGCCGCCTGTCCAGACTCCGTTGGTCTCGCAGCGTTACAAAAGGCCGGGGATTGTACCGTCTCTGGCTCAAGCTGTGTATGGCACGGCGCCTGCTGTTGGTCGAGGTCCTGGAAATATGATGTCTTTCATGATGCCGCCTTACCCGCCTACAGCCTGGTCAAGGCCCATTGGTAGTGCCAAGACTACTGGCAGCCCGCTGTTGCTCAAGACGAGGAAGCGAGATCGGTCGGAGGGTCCTGAGGAGGTTGCCACTACTGCTAAGGCGGATAGTATGCTGCCCAACACTGGATTGGCTCATAGTGTTATCTTCGGCGGTGGTGTGGGCACTACTAGTATTGAGATACCCACTGACCCTTCGGAGCTCACTGAAGGGGTCACAACGGACCCTAAGCGGGCGAGGACCACCACGCCTGTAACAGCAACAACTTCATCATCATCAACAACAACATCGTATGTACCCTTATCGCCTTTGTTCAACCCTGGCTCGCCTCCACTGTCAAGTCGAATGTTCTCACCAGCTTTACCCAAGTATTTGCAGAGCCCCGCATTCCCTGCTACACAGCTTGCCTCTTCTAGAGGGGCACCTCCTCTCGGTTCTAATGTTGCTGACGGGTCGATCATGGATGGAGACATCCAACTGGAGGAAAGTGCTGTTGGGTCTTCAGGCCTCTGCCCCAAGGGCATGCAGACATCTTTCGGATTCCCTATGACCCCAACCTTTTTGCCATATCAGACCACACCGGCTGGAACTACTCTTGCTAGCGCGAGTTCAGCTTCGTCAGCCACTACTACTGCTGCTGCCGGGGCTGTTGACTCGGCTGCCCCCACCCCCGCACCATCGACGTTGCGATCGTTGGCCTTCACTTCTCCTGGTCTTCTACCTGCCCCTTCTCATGCAGGGGCAACTACAGTAGCTGCTACTGCATCCTTCTGGACACCGCACTTACATTATCTCAAGCATAGCCCAGCGTTCGCTAGTCAGAGCAGCGCCGCTGCTACTGAAGGTTAACTCGATGTCATCATTATCTTTTACTGTAGCCATATCTCTCAATACCAATATCGTTATCAGAATCATCGTCGTCATCGTCATCATCACTACGTCAGAACGTAAAATCTCTAACATTTCGTTTACTCGACGTGTTGTGTTTGTAGTTGGGAATCTGGGGTTAGAATGTGAATACACGGAAGAGGTCGGAATATGGTACATAACGATGATGCGATTCATATGTACGCAAAGAAGGCATAATCAAATGTTCAACAGCCCGGCCAAATATATAGTAGGGTCACGTGAGAGCCCTCCGGCCGACCCCAGCGGTCAGCGAGAACCCAATTTCTTTTCCTGCCTCTTACGGGAAGGTGATGTCATCAGAGGCGATGGCAAAGACTGTGACACATACACTATAATGAAGGTGTTGGGCCAAGGGGCTTATGGCCAGGTGCTGTCCCTCTCCACGGCACCCATAGCAAGATCCGTGACAGGTGTTTGTGGTTGGGTCATCTCGTCACAGAAGGGCCTACTGTCTCAAGCGAGTACCCCTACGGGAGCTTAGCCATAGGCAGCGAGAGCAGGTGAAACAAGAGGTCCATCTTCTAGAGACCCTCAGGGGTCATCCTAATATTGTCTGGTAAGTACTGCTAATCCCTGCCGCCGCTGCCGCCCTGCCCCTCAGGCATAAAGAGTCTTTCGTCACACCAGATGAGATCATCTGCATCGTGATGGAGTAGGTTTCACAAGGTATGGTGTATATCATTTACGCTCAGGTATTGCTCTTTGGGAGACCTAGGAGCTCACATAAAGTGCTTATGGGAGGGTGGAAAGCCTCCCAGAAGGTTAGAGGACTTAGCCATTGATTGGCTCATTCAGATGTGCCTCGCACTGCAAGCTTTGCATTCGCGCCGGGTAGATGAGTGCTGCCTCTATCACCATCAGCAGCCATAGGTACTTCACCGCGATATGAAGACCGGGAATGTTTTCCTCCTACGTCCAGCTAGTGTGGGAGAGGGTAGCCTGGTTCTCAAGCTCGGGGACTTCGGTGTGAGCAAGGTAGGTTGGTAGTTGTGGTAACAATAGCAGAGCTTTTTGTAGATGCTGGGGGACCAGCCGGCGAACCCGATGCACTCAAAAGTGGCCTTGGCCTCTACCATGATAGGGACGCCGGTATACATGTCCCCTGAGATGTACAGGGGGAAGCCCTATGGCTTCGAGGCCGACATTTGGGGGCTCGGCTGTGTGCTGTACGAAGTGTTGCATGGCCGATACGCCTTTGAAGCTGACAGTCTGCAAGGACTGGCATTGAAGATCATGCAAGGCCGGCATGGGCCTGTCACCTGCAGTGAGGGCTTGAGAGAGCTCATAGTGTCAATGCTATATGATAGACCCGAGGGGCGGCCGGCCCTGCAGGCGATTCTTGCGCGGTCTATTGTACGAGCGAGAATCGCCCTCACTCTAGCTGGTGTTTGTTCTTGCATCGAGTCGCACATTGGTAGCAGGATGGCCCAAGAGGCATACAAGACCCTGCTGGCCCAGCTCGGGTACATGGGGCTCCGATGGGTTGTCGAGCCAGCCCCAGAGAGATGCCTACCGAGAGTAACTACACAAGGCGCTGGTGAGGACTTCCCTGAGGTTGGGGGGAAGAGGTTGAAGAACTTACAGGGAGAGCTTCGTGTTTCGCCGGGGGCCACTTGGGGGGCCCACCCGGGAGGATGCAGCGGTGCTCATGAACCCGTACCACACCGGTCGGACAGAGAAGTTGCTGGCCAGGGTGTGACTGACCTCACTTATCTGCTACAATACGATCATATCAGCAAAGAGAATCTGGCCTGCCCATTCGAGCCCGTCCGACAACTTGTGATGAACTCTCCTCAAGGCCGCAGCCTAGGCCCGCCTCCGCCGAGCTTTCCGATCGTCACCGAGCCAACTAATGCCCCGCCATTGTTGCGCGACTTGAGTTCGGTCAACCAAGCGTCGACCTCTGCTACTCGTTATCACGACTCTACCTCATTTCCATTGAAGGCTTCTGCGTCCTTAATCGATGCGATGAAATTGGAGCGGGCTAAAGCTGGGGGCACAGTAGGCCGCCGCTGGGGGCACGAGGCATTGCCGATGTTGCCGCGTTCACAATTTCGTTCGGCTAGCGTAGACCCGCTGCCCTCGGATCTGGTGATGAACCTGGATGAGGCCGGGCGGCGTGATGAGGACCAACACAGAGGGAGAGACAGCAGCCTCAGAAAAATGCACAGAAGACCGATGACGTTGCGGCAACAGGAAAGGGAGTCTTCGAGGCATCAATTCTCCCTGAGCTATGATGAGTCACCAGCAGACTTCATTACTGGTGGAATGGCTCGTCCTCGAAACGAGTTCGGATCCAGTAGGGCTCGAGGGGCCAAGGGTGTCTAGCCCCGGTCGATGTTGCTTTATGAATACCATGTTCACGTGTACTGGATTGATATGAGCTCAGAGGCTCTTCTATCATGATTGAACATTTGTGTTGGGGTGGGGACAGGGTGGAAAATGGATCCGCTTGTTGTTGCGTGTTGAGGCTGCGCTCGTAGTAGCCCTTGCCTATGATAAACTACTAGCCGGGATAATGACGTCGGGCCTGATCATCCCCGTTGAGGTCCTCGAACTTATCGCTGACTACTCTCTGAAGATAGGCTTGCACTTCGTGCTCAACCTCAGCGCGACATGTCGCCATTTCGCCGCATATCTCCGCAAGCCGGCGGTGTCGTTGCAACTTGTACGGACCATTCGAGTGAGGAGGCCCTTGCTACCTTTCCCACTAATACTGTTTCGCTGTCAGACTCTCTTACTGCCGTCCTCGATCACCTGCCTATTGCCGCCAGCAACCTCAGAAGCCTTGCCAGAATGGCTCGCCTTTTTAAGACGCCAAGTCACTCTGCAGGGTGTATTATCTCGCTCTGCCTTTTCTGGTCAGCGACGGTCACAGTCTATCGTGGATTTGCATATCCCGCGTCCTCCAACATGCAATTCTGAAGGGGAGTGGGTTCCCACGCCAACGTACGGTCTTCTCTCTCGAACGACCGAGGTACGCCTGCGACCGGTTTCGTCGCATAGCGGTCGATTCACGCCGACTGAGTATAGTAGAATGGAAAAGCTCGAGTGGTTTGAACATGAGGGGACCAATAGGGAAATGGTGAAAAGGTGTTGCATCACCCCAGCAAGGCTTGGACCATTCTTATTGTGCTCAGTTCCCATCATAAGCTCTGTCGCACTCCGGCTGGAGCACTCTATCTCCCCGTAAAATTGGGCGAGCCTCTCACTGAGTCGTTCAGCGACATGCGCTGGATCGTCGTGGACTGTGACATCCCTTTCGATCGGTCAATTTGCAGTGTAACTCACTCGGCTGTCAGCAAGGTTGTGGAACAAGACTTTCGTAGTCCCCAAATGGAGTGTTTTGGTGGGAAGATACTGTGTGGAGCTCGTGGCAATGACGACTACCTCTACATGGTGGACCCTGCTGAGGCTAGTCTCTCTGGCTATTTCGTTATCGTTTATCTATCGCATAACCTCATACAACAGAGTGACCTCATACTCTTTAAGCGCGATGGTAAACTAATATTGTCCATGGGACGCACTCTCGAGACAGAAGTTACTCTGGAGTGTTTGACACTATTGAAATCGCGAATGCTGAAGAGGAGACCAGAGGAACTACTGGAGTTGCCCGAGAATATCAGATTCGTCGACCTTGAATAATGTTCGTGATTCATCGATATTA